AAACAGCTCGTAAGGGTTAAGCTGCTGTTTTTCAGCCTGCTTGGGCAACCAGTGGATCTACTCCTAGGAGAGCTACGAAAGACTGCTAAGAAAATCAAACATTTTTCAGAAGCAGAAATTTACTACCCAGAGGTGTTGCTGCCCACTGGAAGAGAATACTGAAGTTACCACAGTATTTCTGAAGTTGCAGACTACCTTGTACTCGGTTCTGCCTGGTAAAATTCAGAAAAACTGTATTTCTACAGAAGGCAGTCATGCTGCTGGATGTGCAACGCTACACCAGCTGAAGCCTCAGCCGTGAGGGAGCGAAATCCCTGTCGCGGCGGTCCCCGGGACCACTGGAGGGCTCGGCAGCGTGGCTGGGATGTTCCCCTGCGCTATCCCTACTCTGTGTGGGAGCTGCAGGTGCTTCAGCCCCGGCCCTAGCCCCAGCCATGGCCCCTCAGCCCCGGTCCTAGCCCCAGCTGTGCCCCCCAGCCTGAGGGGGGACGGAGGAGGGACTCACCCGAGATCTTGACAGTCTGGCGGTGCCCCTTCTCCCAGAGGACTGCGTTGGTGACCCGCAGGTGGGTGTTGCTCTGCCACAGCTCCTGGCCGATGAAGCCATAGAGGACGTTGAGGCAGATGAGGAGCAGGACGAAGTAGGAGATGGTGACCCAGAACATGGTGGCCAGCAGGCCGGACTCCACAGCCGGTGGGGTGGGCTTGCACTCACAGCTGAAGTCGGTGTGGTTGTTGGGCTGCTCCACGCTGACCGGGAAGAAGGAGGGGCCAGCAGAGAGGAAGGTGAAGGCCCAGAGGACGCCAATGACAGCCTTCACCCGGCGCTTGGTGACGACCACCTTGGCCTTGAGGGGGAAGCAGATGGCGAGGTAGCGCTCCACGGTGAGGGCGGTGATGTGGAAGATGGCGCGGCAGGTGCAGCCCTCCCTGAGGTAGTGGGAGAGGCGGCACAGCAGCTGCCTGAAGATCTGGGCCGGGAGCGCCAGAGGCGGCAGAAGTCAAAGGACAGCCCCAGGAGGATGAGCGGGTCCGAGACGGCCTTGCTGCCCGGGCAGAGGTTGGTGGTGGTCTTCATGACGCG